ATCCCAGAATCATAGTTAAATACTTTTTTCATCACAATCTTTGAGAATAAAACCCATATTTAAAATGTCTTCGAAATTACCTTCATAATTTTATTTTTACTCTAGTCTTTGCATCCCCTTGTAAGATCCAAAGATGTTTTCTGGATCTACTTCTTTAAAATGTTTTAATACATAATGATGAAAGAGAAGGGAAAACATAGTATCAGACAAAAGCCTTTTGCTTGTTTCCTAAAGAATCTCTCTGACCCTCAATTTCCTGATTATTAAATTGGGAATAATGACTCCATACTCAAAAAGTGACTATGAGGATGAAGAGATTACATATGTAAATTGTTAGTGCAGTATCTGAAACAGCTCAGTGGTTCAATAAATATTAATTCCTTTTTATTCTCTTCTACCATCTGGGATAGACCAATATTTGCATATATTCTTTAGAAAAATGGAATTCCATGATTTTCCCAGATACTACATCTACAACTTAACTGCATTTTTTTTCATTTACCGTTTACTGGACTTCTTTGTCATCAAGTCAAGTTAAAATTTTGTTGACCAACTATTGTACACATCACTGTGTTGTGTACTGAAGAGAATAATAACATTATAAAATCCATGTAATGTATACTACCTTGAGGAACAAAGAATCCTATTGAAAGATAAGAAAAGGATACCACCTTCTCTCCACACCATACCTCCCATTTACACACACACACCCAAATATAGCAGCACCAGATAGGAATAAAGTGGTTAGAAATAAGAGCTGCACAATCAGATCTCATGGAGTGGTTGATCTTGATTACAATAACTGGCAGGGTTTTCACAAAGGAAGTGGGCTGGATTATCACTTGGGCCTTGAAGGTTGGATTTGGATGGACAAAGAGGAGCAAGCAGAATCTTTAGATTGGAGAAACATCATCAGTTATAAATATGAAGATAAAAATAAGCATTGTATTAGGATCAAAAAACTAATCAGAATAAAAGTGGCCTGAGAGGCAGGATTTAGACAGATTAAGCCCTAGAAGCCAAATTGAAAGGTTAAAAGCATACCTGTCAGAAGAGATGATAGATGCATTAGCAATTATATCCATATAGTTTTTCAGGCATTGGAACCTCAAATCTGGATTCAAATACACAGGATTAATTTGGTAAACCACAGAAGCACAACTACTTTTTACTAAATAATGAACTAGATGATTAGGATTCCTTTTGTATCTTTCCTGAGTTTGAGAGTCAGCACACATATACTCCACTTGGTCATTCACTCAGCCACAGCTGCACAGCCCCTGGGCACAGCACTATCTTACCAGCATTGGTCTGGGCACAGTTGTGTGAAGTCCTCGGCTCAGCAGCATTTGAAAAAGTGGAGACAAATGGGACATGGTCTTTGTTGTGCTCTCTGAAGTCTGTACAACAGAAATGCTTACAACAATAATATAATATATTTTTAGTAAGTGATGCCCAGATTATCCTATCACTAGGTATGGGGGCTATATTAGTTTCCTAAGCTTCCATAAGAAAGTACGAACTGGATAGCTTCAAACAACAGCAATTTATTGTCTCATAGTTCTAGAAGCTAGAAGTCTGAAGTCAAAGTGTTGGTAGGGTTACACTTCCTCTGAGAACTGTAGGGAAGAATCCTTCTTTGCTGCTTTTAACTTCTGATGTTTGCCGTGAATCCTTGCTGTTTATTGGTTTGTAGATATATCACTCCAATATCTTTTTGCATGTCATGAGGCCATGTTTTCTTTGTGTGTTCCTGTCTCTGTGTCTCTTCTCTCTTATAAACAACACCATTCATATTGGATTAAGGCCCACCCTACTCCAGTATGACTTCATCTTAATTTGATTACATCTGCAAAGACTATATTCTTGAAAAAGATCATGTCAACAGGTACCAGGGGTTAGGACTCCAGCATAGCTCTTTGTGAGCAACACAAGGCAACCCAGAATAGAGACCGTTTATCTGAGAGATGGAAATGAGGTCTTCGTGAATCAACAGAAACAGCTTCATCTGAAGCTGAAGTGTCCTAGGAATGCTCTGGTGCTACTTGAAAATTCCTGAGCCTCAATCCTATCCTTCTACTCTTATTTCTATTTTTGAACATTGAGTTTTACCCATAAAGTTTATTGCTAGAGTAAAAACATGCACGAGATTCTATGGAGATTCGAATTGACACACCTGTTTCAAATTCATCATCATATTTGAGTCTCACAACAGAACTGTAAGTCATAAATTATTGTTGGTGAGAGTTTAAATAAAATTTGTCTTCCCTGCCAGAGTCTGAACCAATTTAAAAATGAAAAAAAAATTCTAAGCAGATCAGCACGTTATTATGCCATATTGCCTAATTATAGTCATCTAAGAATATCAAGCTTCTTGACACTGACAGACTTACCCTCCTGGCCATCAGCTCTACGGTGGGGCTTCCCCTTTCAAAGACCTGGCCCTTTTGCAGCTTCTTCATAAAAAGAAAAGAGATGAATTGAACAGAGCAGGTCCAGGTTATTCTCCATAAATTTACCATTCAGATGACACTAATCCAATTTTTCTGGAGCTGAACAAGTACAGAGGTCAAGAGAAGCCAAGATTGTTATCTTAATTGTGTTTCATTTACCTAGAAAGAAACATCAGAAACAGCAAAGAAACATTTGTTCGCAACATTAATTATCCACATTTTTTCAGATAAGAAAAATGAGGCTTACTAAGATAAAGTGATTGACTTAAGCTTTTTTGGCTATCTCCAATTTCTATAAATCTCTCCATTGCACCACATTGGGCTTTTCTTTGTATTAGACATACTTGTTAGACATAATCTGGTCTCTTTATTTTACACTTATGATATGGACTCCATCAGATAAGATTCTTATACCAGTAAAACCTGCTGTCATGTATCTTAGATGATATAATTAATTCTTATGAATTATGCTTTGCCATATTTTCCCCATTGAAATGTAACAGGTTGGCATTTTGAACTACAGTTGAACTCCTTAGTGCTCAAAATAACTGACTCTTGGGAAAATAAAGCCTTTCTATTATTTCAAGAACAAAAGTTGAACCTTCTCTAAAGAAGTTAAGAATGTCGAGTTGCCCCTTCTTAGGAGTCTAAATACAATTCACGATTAATAATGATCCTCTTAATATTGCAGCCATTTGATCTCATGTCCAAAAAAACCAATCTATAAACATACTATTAATAAGACACCAATTCTGCCTAAAATTATGTCTGTTTATTTCATAGCACTTAACACAATTATAAACTGTATTTCTTTATCTTCTTGTTTATATCTTCCACGGGAACATAAGCTCAATTAGGGCAGGAATCACATTTGTCTTGTCCATCCTTATTTCCAAGCATACTTTCTAGCAAATAAGCACAAAGTTATGAAGAAGTATATGGATGAAACATTGCTATTTTGTACACTTGCTGAACAATATAAAACTTCTTCCATTTATACTTCACATAGGTGATTCACTTATCATTGAAGGTCTTAAGGCACTAAAACATTTCTGACAGTGTTAATTTCCTCCCTCTTGGACATCAGAATTCAGGACTGAGAGTGCAGATAGCCTTTGGGGATATAAGTTCCCTGTCTCCAAAACTCCACCCCCACTGTATTTATCTTATAGTATACCATGTTCTGTTTTCTTTCCCTCAATTCTTAGCATAGTTCTTATCCTGTTTGGGATTAATCTATTCATGCCTGAAAACAAGCATTTGGAGATACTTGACTCAAGTTAAAAATTGATTGTATGTCTACAACATTCCAGCCACTTGGAATAAAGTGTTACCACAAATATTTGTATAATACTAAAACAAAAGTAGAAGAAAATTATTTTTACTGTCATTATTGAATGTTATCATGGCTTTGAATATTATAATCAATTCCTTGGAAAAACTAAAGACACAAAGATCAAAAAAATTGGGTACATTTTCCAAGGTTCCACAGCCTTCTGTTCCTATTTTCTGGCTCACACATCATTATAAATAGAAACTTACACACACACACACACACACACACACACACACACACACACACACACATATATAGCTGATTAAGAGAATTGACTTTGGTGCTCAAGTGGCTTGGATTTGCAATTGGCTGTCATCAACACTTAGGTGCTTTATGACCACTCTGGACCTCAGTTTTTTCATCTCTACCTTGGGGAAATGGTTCTTTAACTATGACCTATTGTTGTGGGTTTTAGTATCGATATCGTGCATCTATAACAGAAGATCAAACTCCTGTGGTGTAATTCTACAAGTAAGTCAGTGGTAATCTGAAGATTATTGGAACTATATGGCAATTGAAGGCAATGCCATTACATAGCATTCTTAGCAATTTCTAAGAGTTCACCTTCTTTCCCCGTGGATAGCTTCTAGTGAATATAGCCACCTGACATCTTCTGTGGCTCTTTCCCATGGCAACAGCTGTGATCTTTTGCTTTTCTAGAAACCCCCTGTGCTTGGCTATTCTCAGTCCCATTTCAGCTTTACCATCCACAGGCATTTTACTGCCCCACTTTCTGCAGGTACTACTTTACTTAGAATGCCTGTTATGCTTCCATCCTTGGCAGTACATAAAGATGCACTGCCAGCTGAGCTTTAATCTTCATGTTGCATAGACAGCCCTGCCCACCAGACACAATATCATTATAAAATGTCTTGCTGTCAAGGAATAATATTTTATGCTTCTTGAGTCTTTCCCAAGTTTCTAGTGTATTTGGTTGCCCTTGAAACTTTCAGTGAATAACAAATATCATACTAGAATACCCAATAAGCATGCAAATATTCCACGGGGCAAAAAGAGAATATCATTTTCCTGTGGGAGCCATGATTTTTGATGAAATGATCGTTGGTTCCTCGGATCTAAAATATAAGAATGGATAAGGTGAGGGTGGGCTTTCCACACTGGGGTCTTGTAACACTGTGCAAAACTCTCTTTGTCTCCTCTTTCTCATTCTTCTGTTCTCTTTATCTTCACTATCTATTGCTTTTTCCTAGCTAAATATGGTTGGAGGCACTGGAAGGTAAAAAACACGTGAAAATCAGGTCCCGAGGAGCTGAATCCAAACAACACAAGGAACAATGTAAGATGCAAGTAGAGGAGGACCCAAAGAGTTTGTGTTTACCTGAGGTTTTCCGTTATGTCCTTATCAGTCTTTACAACTTCATTCAGTGCCCCTATTAGTTTTCTGTTGGCTTTGTCTGCAAGGCTGTATTTCTTAACATTACTTAAAAGCCTTTAATTATGTAATCTCTTTGCCTCTGAAGATAATGATCCTAGTTTATATTACAAAGAGCATTACATTTTGTTTTCCCCATAGCATTTTTAGATACAAATTGTCACCTTTGACCCACACAGGACCCTTTATAGTATGCAGGACAGGAAATATTGTTCCAGTTTTCCAAAGGCGTCTTGGAGAAGCTAAGTAATTTACATATGCCCATGCAGCTAGTGAGGGGGCCTCAGCTGCTCTTTGCACCTGTTCATTCACCTTATATTCTAAGGAAACATCCTTAAAGTGATGTTAATGTCCAGAAAAGCATCTAGGAAATGACAGCCTCGTCAATGGATCTGGTTTTCTGCATCTGGTGTTCGGGAAGGGTCTGAGAAGCTTTGTTCAAAATATGGAGCATTGCTTATGCTCTGCATTTTCTTAACGGTGCAACACTCGGATAATAACTGCATCTAGGAGCATCCCCAGAATGAAATTGCAGCCTGAGGGAAGCTTTATTCTCATACTCCTGCCTGATGTTTATTAGAACTCTAGGAAGGGCTGTTTAGGCCAGTAGAACAAAGAGACCAGAGGATGGAAAGAGTCAGAAATTGCTTTTACTGTTTTAGATTTTTCTTACTGCCTAATATACTGAGGTATTAGTTTTAGCATTCAATGTCTATCTTCAATGGGGGAATTTTATTCCAGAGTTCCTGTGAATATTATAGAGGGAGCTATGATAATTGGACACTCACAGGTGTCAAATGTTTGGCTAGGTACTTTACAAGCATTATTTTATTTAATATTAGTAAAATTATGAGGAAGTTATTTTTGCCTACAGCTTACAGTATTAAAATTGAGCCGAGGAGGTGACTAACTATTTAGTGTAAGTCAATCAACTTTAGGATTAGCAAGGACAAAATTCACTTATAACCTATTGCCTAAAATACAAATGCTTCTCTCATGTTAACCAATTATGGTTTATTAATCAAATGGTTGTTAAATCTAACTATGTGTATCTCTAATTTCCTGCCATTTTTCCTATGAAATATCTTTTCCTTCTTATTTCAGCTTTAGTAGTCAGCATTATAATTTGATAGTAAACTTTATTGCTGCCAATCATGCCATCTTTTCTCTAGTTTATAATTTCATAATGTCTGAGCTTTAACCCAATGAGTCAATGCAAGAATCCATATGTGGACAAGTGTTTTCTCCATCAGTGGGCTCTATTAGTGCAATTGTTTCACATTGGGTTCTGCAAAACTTAAATATTTCAATGTTGACTTTTTAGGTTATAATGTTGGAAGCCACATCTCTAGACGATTGTGAAAATAATTAAAATTTTAACTTATTGAACTCCAACTATATATTTTCTAACATTATTTCATGTAATATTTGCAATAAGCGTATACCTGAAGGAAGATTGTTCACAATTTGAAGAGCTGTAAGCTCAAATTTGGAAGAGGTAAACACTCAGTACAAAGTTGTGCAGATGGTAAATGGTACTATTTCCATTTGAACACAGTTCTGACTGACTTTGACCTCCATTCTGGGTCCAGTGCTAATTTCAGTTCTCAGAATCAAACAGTGTTTTCATGCCAGGATGTGTCAGCATCTTCCTTGTTTAATAAATATAAATTCTGATAAATACCCAAGCTATAGACAGAATATTAGCTCAGAGGAAGATTTAAAATCTCAGAAAATGTGTCATGAAACTCAACATTTTAATGATATTAAAATATCTTTGGACCAGTGTGGTGGCTCATGCCTATAATCTGAGCACTTTGGGAGGCTGAGGCAGAAGGATCACTTGAGGCCAGGAATTTGAGACCAGCCTGGACAACATAGCAAGACTCTGTTTCTACAAAATAATTTTTAAAAATTAGCCAGGCATGGTGGCACATGTCTGTAGTCCTAGCTACTCAGGAGGCAGAGACAGGAAGATCACCTGAGCCCAGGGATTCAAGACTACAGTGAGCTATGATCACACCACTGCACACTAGCCTGAGTGATAGAGCGAGACCTTGTCTCTAAAATAAAATATAAAATAAAATAAAATAAAATAAAATCTTTTGGGTAGATTGATTCCATTTTTCATCAGGGACAAGAGGTAGTAATGGGAGGAACCAAAGTAATTCCAACTTTTTCTAGGTAACACTACTGCATCCAATATGTTTTTAAGCCAGAAAAAATCTCTAGCAATTCAGGGAATGTAAATTTACATTAATGGTTAAGACCTCAGCCCAGCCTACTTATAATTGAAATTTATTGTAGGCACATTTAGTGAGTGCTTACTAGGAGGAAATTGGCTGTTCAGCATAGGAATCTGCCTCAAAATTTTAGGATCTATTTGGAAGCTTAGCTAATGTTCATGTATTTCAAGACAGGCATCAGCCATAAATCCTAGATTAATATACATGGGGCAAAGAAAAGAACATAAGTAATAGATAGCAAGATTTTGATTATTCAGGGATAAAAAATATCCCATGCCAGCATTGGAAGGGACATAGGGATAAGTGGGGCTGACCTTCTTATCATATCTTTATGCATTCTCAGAAGAGAAAATAAAAAAAACTCAGAAAAGCAAACCTGGAAAAAAATAATTCATTCCTAGTAATAACACTCAAACACAAACACTGGTAAATTGTGTAGAGATTTTACCCTTTCTATGAAAAAAAAATATTTTAACACAGTTTAAAAGAAATTGCATGTATAACTATATACAATTTGCATGCTATTTTGCACTTAATATTATGCTGTAAACATTATTCTATGGGATTACATAATTTTTCAACTATAAATTTTAATGCCTAAATAACATTCTACTTGATGGAAGCATCAGTTTACTTAGCTAACCTCTTAGGGTTAGACATTTCCACTGTTTCCCATTTGGGACCATCAGATAGAATTCTACAATAATCATTTCCTAAACTAAACTTCTAACACATGGATGGTTCAGTGGTAGAATTCTCTAAACTAAACTTCTTAGATTCTTAACAATTATTTTTAAAAATTAGATTCCCAAATGTGTAATTATAAGCTAAATATATATATATGTGTGTGTGTGTGTGTGTGTGTGTGTGTGTGTGAAAAGTTGCTTTTCAATAGTTCTTCTACTAGTAATGAAATAAAGATCTCATTTTCCACACTCTCACTGGTATCACAAAAACACACACACACAGAGTCAAAACACACAAATTTGATAAGCAAAACAGTTTCGCTTTACTCTTTAACACTACTACTTTTAGGGTCTAGGAAGCCTCGCCTGGGTCTTGTTGTTATACTTTATAGGACTACTCTAGCCTTCCTCAAGCCATGCCTTTCTCCAAGAGACAGGGAGCTCACAGGGCCAAGTGGAATTTTTACCCCAAACCCATGCTACCCCTTCTTGACCATGCTTTGGGTACATTGTACTCTGAAATATCATGCCCAAATAAACCTAAACTCATTTCCAGAGACTTTGGGGGTCCCTATCCCAGGCTGGTACCCCTAATAACAGACTGCCCACAGAGTGGGCAAGAGGCAGCTCTTTGTGGGGACAGTGACATGAGGAGAATGTAGACAGAGCTCAGATGTACACACACATCTGCAGCAGGTACTGAGGATAAGGAGAAAAAAATCAGGACTCTGTGATCACCTCTCTATGACATATGATCCAGAAAAAAACAGTAAGGAATATAAGAATTCTAAACTCAAACTTGGCTTTAGAGGTCCTTATGAAGACATATTTGTCAAAGCAGAAGGATAAAACACATTTTTGACAGTTTGTTTGCTTGTTTATAACTCTGAAATACTTAGACATAGTATGTGGATCTCTACTTGTGTTCTTGCCCTGGCAACTAGAGATCATGGGGGCTAACCTGGCTTTATAGATTAAATGGATGATGTATTAGGACTATCTATTTTAACAAATGTTCTAATTTCTATAAAAGAAATAGAGAAAGTTAAATAATCCTAGATGAATGCACAAGGAAATTGTACCAAATCTTTGATTAGATAAAGGCAATACAAAAAAGAATATTACATATCAATATCACTTATGAGTATTTCCATAGATGCTAGAGAAAACAAAAACAAAACTTTGACATATTCTACTGTAGTTGCTGATTTCAAAATAAGAGACGCACAGGAATGGAATGATGGATACTTCCTTAGCATGATATAGTACCTTTACCTCATTCATAATGCCAACATCTTAAGATCTTGGGAAATGAGAAAATGCTAACAACATTTTCACAATGATCAAGACAAGACAAAGATGCACCACTATAGCCACTACAATTTAACATTGAATTAGAGCTATTAGCCAATTCAATTGTACAAAATAAATCAACCAGAGATATAATCATTGAAAAAGAAGTAGTAGCCAGGAGTGGTAGCTCGTGCCTCTAATCACAGCTACTTGGCAGGCTGCAGCAGGAAGATCATTTGAGCCCAGGAGTTTAAGGGGCAACCTAGAGAAACCCTGTCTCTACAAAAATGAGAAAAAGTAGAGTGGTGTAGTGGCCTGTGCTGTTAGTTCCAGCTATTTGGGAGGCAAAAATGGCAAAAAGATGTTCAACTTCACTCATAATCAGAGAAATGAAAAATTACCCTGCGATATCATTTTTCACTTCTCACGCTAAAAAAATCTAAGCTTGAGAACAACTTCTGTTGGCAAGGCTGTGGGGAAACAGGCACTCCCATATGTTGCAGGTGGGAATGCAAATTAACACATCATTTATGGAGGGAAATTTGGCAAATTTATCATAACTACTTATGAATTTGACCCAGCAGTTCAGCTTCTAGTCATTTACCCTATAGATATACTTTCAACAATATGAAAATAGATCTACGCAAGGTTATTGAGACATTATTTGGAATTACAAAATATCAGAAGTAACCTAAATGCTCACATGTGGGAGGTTGGTTGAATAAATTCTGACTTTCCCAGACAATGGATTACCATGAAGCTGCAGCAGTAATGAGAAAAGAAATGATGTGATTTTCCCTGATATATTGTTAAGTGAAAAAAGCAAAGTGTGAAGCTTATGAGCATATATAATATTAGATATTATGTAAGATAGTAAAAATAAGAAAATACATATATGCATTTTCTTATATTTTTAAAAACAAAAAATACCACCACTGACAGCTCATATGAAGGATAAATCAGAAAGTAATGTTTGGGATTATCTTTTGGGAGTGTTTGAAAGTGAGGTGGAATGATTTAGTTGGGGGCCTCATAACATTTTTCTATAATTCTTACTTTAGAAACATGTGATTGCTTTACATACTCAAAAAATAAATAAATGGATCAGCACAGATGTGGGGGGACTTGAATAGAAACAGAAACTCATAAATCTAATTATGTTTCAAATGAATAGTATCATAACAATTAAGGGTATACTAATTCAAAAGGTAACTTTTGAGCATCTTTTTATGTTTTTTTTTTTTTTTTTTACTATATACTCTCATACTAAAGGTCTAAAGGACTATAAATATATGTTGAACTCTGCTAGATTTCTTTGTAGCAGTGGTATGGGTTAATATTTCTGAATCTACCTCTTTTCTATATACTAAGAATAAACAAATAAGTAGTAAAGATAGTTAAGCATATGGAAGGAAAGAAGACTCAAATTAAGCCTTAATGTTGGATTTATATTAAAGGTGTCAGTAAAAATGGATGGTTTTAAGGTAGATTAGATATGTGCATAATTGTGTGTGTGCCTACATTACATATACTTTCTAGCTATGTCTCCCCAGAAAGGTCCTAGAAACTATGCCATCTAAGTAGCAATGAGCACACTTAGCACCTAGGACTAGGTTAATTATAAACATATAACTGGTAGGAAAAAACTCATTTCTGTAGTAAAATGCCCACTCACAAATGTTGAAGAAACAACCGAGTTAGAAAATGAAAAATTTGGCAACCATCATGATAATAATTGAATTAAACAAAATCATCAAACTATTGGGTAAAATATTATGAACAGGACAGTTACATAGTCTCAAAGCATCTTCTGGAAAGTTACTTGTTAATGTCAAGGGAAAAGTCCAGTAAATTCTCAGCAGAGATATGACAGACGTTACCTTAACCATGCGAATGTCACCTTAACCATGTGATCAAATTTAACATCTTCATTAATGGGACAAAATGACATCAAAGGCCTTCAAATATGATATGCTGAGAGGGTTACTTAATTACCTTTTGTATATTCCTTCTAAAAAGTAGTCACCTAAATCTTATCACAAGAAAACATCAGCCAAGCCCAAACTGAGAAACATTCTAAAATACAGCTGTTCTGTACTTTTCAAAAAGTTAATATCATACAAGACAAAGTCTGACAACAATTTTTCAATTCTGGATTGGATCCTGAAATATAATAAAGGACATTATTTCTGAAGATTGATGAAATTTGAAAAATATCTGTAGATTAGATAATACATTGTGCTACTATTAGTTACATCATTTTGATCTTTACACTGTGGTTATATAAGAGAATATCTTTGCTCTTAGGAAGCATACACTAAAATATTTAGCAGTAAAGTGGCATTATGACTGCAACACTTTGCCAATTTATTCAGGGAAAAAAATTACACATAAACACACACAGAATGATGAAGCAAATGTGACAAAATGTTGATAACTGCAGAATCTGGATGACAGTATTATACAGGAGTTTTTTATACTATTCCTACAGCTTTTCGGTAAGACTGAAATTATTTGAAGTTAAAAAAAATCACAATAGCAGCAACAAAGAACAAATTAAGATGATATTGAAGTCTTCCAGAAAATAACATTCTTCTTTTACTTCAGGGTCCTGAAGCTTGAGTTTTGCCTCACTGAGCACCTGCAAGTCCTGAAATATGGTGCCCACAAATGAAAGGGAAAAAAAAAAGAAACCGATGTCTGGTGTGACAGGAATGGTGAGATTGTTGCCCAGCCTCCTTAATAACTGCCTTTCTTCAGATGCTATTTATATGGGAGAGCAAGAACAAGAACGTGCTTCCAGATAAGGGCCTATTAAAAGTAGTCTGGAGCTAAGAAATGATATCTCATCAGCCTACCACACCATGGTGGCCCATGGTCATGACAGAGTCGGAAGGTATAATACCTAAGGTAGAACAGTGTTTTCCAATCACCTCAAATGATATTTTATTGTGCACATCATTTGTATGTTGGCTTTTTGGAGCCACTCTTATAATTATATGGTGCAAATTGAGGAAGGTTGAGTCATTGGCTTCTATTTGAAATCTCAGTACACCAACACGTTCAGAGGACAATGTGGTCTGGGAGCCTGTCTGCTTTTGGGGGATCAGCAGAGTTATCACAGTTCTAATACATGGAGACCATCTAGATAGAATCTGTTGGAGCTTTGCCCTGCACTGAGTCTTTGACCTTGGATAAAGATAAGATTAAGAACTTCACCACTTTAAACATTAAAACCACAGAGGTATTTTTACCACCCTGGCCACATGCAGTTTATTTCAAAATGAAGACAAAGCTGGAAAATAAGTGTAAAGCAGTCAGAGTTCTGATTTTTAATGATTTTATGTAAACATTTTTAAATAAAATATTATCAAACATTGAATGTTTTTTTCTTTATACTTTGCTAATGTTTGCCATTGACCTAAACTAATGGTTTGTCTGCCTATTCATAAAGGAACATCATACCAGCCTGGGGACATGGACCTTCCAGAGATAAGACTTTCAACACAGGGCTTGGAAAAGGAAACAGTGGTGCTCATCTCTTGCAGATGTATTGGAATCATCTGGAATGTGGTTCATGTTCTGCTCATGACTTGCTGAGAACCTTTTGGTCAAAAGTCAAGATAAGTCCACCAATCTCTATTAAGAAGGACTGCAACTTTGAGGCACCATTACCAATGGGTTTGTATATGTCTTAGCTGTGTGGATGCTGAAATGGGAAGAAAGGTTAAGGTTTGTTGTTGTGAACATGCCATTTTAATGCCAAGGATAGTGTAGACATGCATTCATGTCTAGCGGATTTTCTTACAGCATGATTCCTTTGTGACACCTGCAGGCAAGCCAGAAAACATGGTAAAATGAAGGTGATACCTTGATTGCCAAAGAAATCATACCTAGAATGAAAGAGGATGGGCGTTCTATAAGATTCAGGATACCTGGAAACAAAAGAGTATACCTAAGCTTTAATGAAAAAACTCCCTCTGATTCAAGTTCTTTCTGACCCAGTGAGAGCCTTCTCCTTCAACCTGTTGCTTCTGCCAGGCTTGCTTGCACTTGACCTCTGACCTCCAGTAACACTGATGCTGGCTGCCTGTCGCATCTATGCCTATCCTGACTTTTGAACTTGTATGGAAATCTGGTTTGGGGGAAGGAAAATGACTTACAAGGCTACAGTTTATTATTTATCTTTCTGAGTGAATATCATTTAATCTGATATAAAAATAAAATTTACTATTTCCCCTAAATCGCTATGTTTATGCTATCAATGTCAAATAAGAATACCGCAGATTTGCTCTTCGATGAAACAAAGTGTTGGTAATTATTCCAGATGTGCCTTAATAAGGACCATAGTCAATATTCCCAGATGAATGAAAAGAATTCCATTGATTATAATTATAGGCACTGATTTTCTTTCTTAATATATTGATTATCTGATTCACTAATCTGCACTCTCTTGTGAGCAAGTTAAATCCAATATAAGTCAGATTTTTTTTAAAAAAGGAGAGAGAAATTGAGGACTTTAGTATTTGCCCTAGTGTCAACTTTACCAATATTAGTCTGTTTATTTGACAGTGTTCTAATAAAAAAATAAAATGTATTAACACAGAACATCAGAAAATTAATGTAGCACACTCTGCTTTAGATTACATGTTATGAAACTTTCTTCAACTTTAAGTTGTTTAGGAGAATGTTACCTTTTCTAAAACAAAGAAAATGTAGACTTATCTATAATCATAGGCATTTTTGTTAATAATCAACAATTCCTAAATCATTAGAAAAGTAGACCCTGCTATTGTTTATTTAGGTCAAGTGAGTATGTCAAGTTTATTTAGGTCAAGTGTCACATATTTTATTAATATGTGACAAAGCTTGATTTAGACAAGAAAAAAAAATACTTCCTGCAATTTGACTTTTAGAATGTAATACCCAAAGATCCACTGGAACTATTACTGTGATATCATTGTCATCCTGGGTCCTTTTGACTTTAACAAATAACCTTCAGAGGCATTTTGAATCAGGAGCATTGAAGTTATGTTATGATACACTGAACCCTTATGGCTGTGTCCTGCAGGCCTTCTCACTTCACAAGCAGCTCTGTACATGTTGCTGTATAATTATTAAAGTTGCTGTTTTATTCTCTCTTTCCAGTGTGAGCTCCATCCCATAGTGGAACTACTGTCAAAATGCCCTAAAAATGTTCCTTTTCTTCAAGCAAAGTTTTTTTGTTTCTTTGCCTCTACTGACATAGATAAGGATTTTATGCTGGATATAGATATGAAAAAAGGAAGAAGGGAAGAAGGGAAGGAAGGAAGGGAGGGAAGGAAGGAAGGAGGAAGAGAATGAGGGAAGAAGAGGAAGGAAGGAAGGAAGGAAGGAAGGAAGGAAGGAAGGAAGGAAGGAAGGAAGGAAGGAAGGAAGGAAGGAAGGAGAAAAGAAATAAAAGAAAGAGAAAGAAAGAAGGAAGGAAGGAGGAAAGAAAGAAGGAAAGGAAAGGAAAGGAAAGGAAAGGAAAGGAAAGGAAAGGAAAGGAAAGGAAAGGGAAAGGGAAAAGAAAGGAGAAAGGAAAGGATAGCAAAAGAGGGAGAATTGGGTAAACCAAAAAGTTGAATTGAATTTGGTTCTAAGTCTATTATGAATTTTATCACTCCAAAATGGACTTGTAAATGTTTCCAAATGAAGATATAGTCCTATTTGGGGGAATTTATGGGATTTTATTTATTCTTAAAGTCCTAATAATAATTATAGTAATAAAACTTTACTTTTATTTGAGATTTACATTAGTTCATTAATGTAACTAGGCTTCCTAGTTATACATTTCTAATAAAATGTCAAATGTTTTTCCATTTTTCATACATTTCCAATATAGTAGATTCAAAAGACAGCTTTCTATAACAAATATCTACAAATTTAGATAGCACACTGGTGAAATGTTCCCATAGCAAGTTTTCATGGATAATTTTAATCTATGTATAATGTTACATAGATTATACATGGCAAAGGAGAAGACTCCTTCTTCATTTGCTTGTATAATTTTATTCGTGTAATTTATTCTCATAGAACACCTTGTATTTCTACCTTTAAGTTTCTCCCATCCTTCAAGGCTTTGCTCAAATTCCACCTTTTCAGATTTCGTAAAATTTCATCTTCCTACCTAAAGGCACAATGGCACAACAGCTACAGTATCTGAGCCATTCTCTTTCTCTTCAGTATTAAAATCACAAGCTCTGGAATCGGACTAATCTAAGGTTTGAGTCTAAGTTCTTTCATTCACGGCTATGTTATCTTGGGCTTTTAAATATTCTGAGTTTCCATTTCCTTTTCTGTAAAACGGTGGTAGTAGTATTTCTTTGAAGATAAATGAGATAATGTTTATAAAGAATTTAATACAATACCATAGAAAATAAAGATAGAAATAATAGAACATAGAAAAGGAAATAATAAATGTTGCCCTTGTCATTATCATGACTAATAGTCTGGTTTAACTAAGTTGGAATGTAATATATGGGCACATCTTTTAATATTCAAGCTAAAACCTCAAGCTCTGTATCCTGTTTGAATGAGATTGTCTTTGTCTCTTAGCACATAGCCATCCTTGGTTACATAGCTTTTACAAACTACACATAGCTACTTGAACCAAAGAGACTTCCCAATCTCCCCACAATATCCACCTAGAATGCACCCTTCCCTGGTATTAGAGAGTAATAATAGTTCTTCCCTGAGTCAGTCATGAGGACCACCATTTCCCACCACATGATGTTCAAAATTTCTTGCAGGATAAAAGCCCACTTGGTAACATTACTAGCAAGTGGTGGTAATGAACCTTATAGCTATAATTTGTTGCTTTCTTCCCAGCCAGACTGTAATAAACTCGACATTCTTACAAATCTCCCACTGCCTTGCTCATGGTCGTTGTACAACAAATATTTTGTTTTCATGACTATCAGTCCGCTAACAAGATCTTCTTCATTTTACTTTCTATTTCTTCCAGTACCTTCTCTGGAGTGAAGTTGTTAGTCAGCAGTGAAATGCCCAAAGCTGAGATTCAGAAAAGAAAAGCCTAGGGCTTGGATAAGCCTTGTTGCACAGGAGAAATCCCTAAGCAATTCACAATTGGACTTGTTTCTAATATGACTCAGCCTCTATTTTATTTATTGACTTTGAGTTGGGATGGAATTCTACCTTGGGAGAGATGTTTCAACTTTTAAGGATAAAGTGATAAATTCATGTTCACCTATCATTGATTGTGGACAGTACACTTTGCTAGTCTGACATCAGTAGTCAGAGGTTGAGGGCCAATTAGGAAATAAACACACACAAAAAGTCTAAGAATGTTTGTTGAATAAGACTGTCATGCAGTTGCTACTAAAAGAAATAAAAAATAAGATTTAAAAAACCATATATGTATATTTTATTTAAAAGGAGAGAGAGAGAGAGAGAAGTGAGGAGAGAGGAAAGAGTTAAAAAAGACACTTTGGCAGCCTGCTATTTTTTCTTATAAAGTCATAAAGCTTAATTCAAAAATTTCCTGGAATTTATAGTGCCAGAGGCTAAGCTAAAAATAATTTTCTCTCATTAGATCTTGTAGTTTAACCTCTGAAGTGGAAGGTTTGTGACAGATACATCAAGACTCCAACTCACAAAAGCACCATTCAAAAAGGAAGAGAATAAAGAGGAACTGTTGCTATTAAATGACCCAGAGAGAATCAAAGAGACAAAGAAGACTATTTCTGTAGCTTTCTGGGACTAAGCATATAGGGTTGCTGGGCCATTCCAGGTGGATCACTCCTGTCAGCTCCAAATGTATCATGTGCTAAATGAGCATGAAATTTTATATGGGAGCAAAGCTTTGGAAAGTAAACTTTACTAGACAATGATAGGAAATGGGTGGGGGGGAGAAAGATAGGGTTTGCTCAATAACCCTAGTGAAAATTAATAATGGGTAATTATTTCCTCATCTCTTTTCCCTAAAACTGAAAAAACCTTTTGCATTATTCCTGTAGCATAGAGAAAAACAAAGCCACAGAGCATTAAACTCCAAGGTACTCCTGAAAATTTGGAACTAAAAGGTGAGGTGGGTTTAATTCTTGAAATAAAGACTTCTAAATTTTTAATTTTAATTTTAATTTTTCTTTCTTTAACTTTCTTTAACTTTCTAAACTTTCTTTAACTATAAATTTAACTTTATTATCCAAAAGGTAAAATGCTTATTACATTGTTCTAGACTCTCCATGCGCATTAACAGATTCTAATATTCCATGTTATATTCTCAAGTCATATTTATGATCATATTACTAACAAGGAAAGAAGAGAAGGAGACCTGTGTATCAGGTTTCAATCAAGCAGAGTTACTATGAGTGATAAGGAATAAGGGAATATAACAGGAATTAGACCATCCACAATTGTGGAAGCCAATGGAAGAGTCTATGGAAATTGTCTCTGTTTCCATAGACTCTTGAAATGCCATATATCTGCAGAGCCAGTAGTTGAGAGAAGAAATCCTGGACATTAAGTTGAAGAACGTGAGGACAAACTGGGATCCATAAGGGCAAATAGGAACAAGTATCTGTCTCTCAATGCTTTCAACCTTGATGCTGTGGGCAAGTTGCAGAAGGTGGCAGTACCCTTGCATCTGGCCTGAGAAAACTGAGGGAGAAAACTGGTGGAAGCTGGAGAAGCTATGGGTCCAGATGCTGCCCTGTATCAACAAGGAGAGCCAGCAAATTAATATAAGGATGTGTGTGATCTGCAACAGCCCCTGGTCCTACACCTATATTCAGAGCCAAAATAGCTGCTGTTTTATTTCTGCCTTCCAAATGTCATGCAAATTTTTCTTGGAGCCAACCCTAACTAAGAATAATACAGGGAAGAAAATCCAAGGAAACAATGTCTAGGTATATCACCACATTCAAAGCCAATACAACCCATATTTATTTGACATCATGTTTTCCAGGCACTATACCAATCTCTATCCAATTATCCTTTATATTAAAACAGTTCTCAGAAAAAGCATCTTATCTTTTAGAAAACTGAGGTTCAGAGAGGTCAATTTCCCTAGAAACTGGCAGGAATCAGATTGAAATTAAGACCAATTATTTTGACTTCAGTTTATGATTAATCCTTAAATTTTCTTTTATTGATATTTAGACCATCCACAATTGAATATTTTTTACACAATATTTGAATGCCAAGTGGTACACCCATCCTGGGTTAAGAGAGTTCAATAAATGAATTG